GGGAAAGTAAGAAACTGGAGCAAAACACATTTTACACAGTTCGATCTGGATGGAATTCTATCTGCCTGTTATTTACATTCAAAACCCACTAGCCTTGGTAAAAGGTTACACTGACCTTTCAGTTGTGACTTGTGTATAGTAATACTCAAAAGAAATCTGAATGTCATGTTGTCATGGTTTGATTGGGTTGTTTTGTTTTTGTTTTTTTCTGCTGGGTTGTTAATTCTTTTTCGTGAAGTGTTTTCGCGGTGAGCGGACAAAACGTCACTAACATATATAGACTAACAAATATAATTCCATAAACACTGACGCTTAGATTTTAGGATATTAGAGCGCTGTGAGCATACTAAAATAGCATGGACACAAGCGCTATTAAAGTACTCAATCTTCATCATCAGAATTTATCACTTTTTAAAAAAATATTTTTCAGTGACTTTTTTTTCCCTACAATCGTTTTTAGTCACTTTGGGGGGAAAAGGCTTTTGATTTTGCTGGGTTTTTTTTTTTTAAAGTTAAGTCTCATACCAATTTAATACACTCGTAACCTTGACCTGGATGTTTTTGTTGATACCCCAAACAGGGGGATCAACTTGAAACATATTATTTAAATAAACCTTTGTTTCATCAATATTTTTAAGTGTCATTTTTGCCGAGTCAGTTCGAGTGCTCTTTTGCACCCTCCCAAACCATGTCCCTACTTTTAAGTTTGAGTTGAGAGGTGGGAAGGGCGGTGGGGGGTGGGTGTTGTTCTTTGGGATTTGTCCTGAGGCGGCGATGGGACTCTTGAGGACATCCGTGACATGTGTTTTGTTTAGATTACCATCGCCGCATTTGGACATGGCCACCGGTGTTGGATGTGCTTGTAGTTGTACGACGCTGAAGCTCATTGTACATTTCTTTTCTATAGCTGTAACTGCTTAACGCGTGCCCTCGTTCCACTTCTCTCTCTCTCTCTCTCTCTCTCTCTCTCTCTCTCTCTCTCTCTCTCTCCCCTCTCTCTCTCATGTTTTTTTTAGATTACCAGCGCCGCATTTGGACATGGCCACCGGTGTGGGATGTGCTTGTAGTTGTACGACGCTGAAGCTCATTGTACATTTCTTTTCTATAGCTGTATCTGCTTAACGCGTGCCCTCGTTCCACTTCTCTCTCTCTCTCTCTCTCTCTCTCTCTCTCTCTCTCTCTCTCTCTCTCTACCGCATCTCTCTATCCTCCTCGCCAATCCCACTCTCCATCCCTCCAATCCTCCAAGTAGTTTGGGCATTCAAAGAAAAGGGACTGCGTTGAATTCCCTTATAAGATGGAGGCTTGTTTCCTAGTCATAGGTAGTTATGTGGATATTTTTTTACTCTTTTTGCATTTCCGTGGTCATTTGGGTTCAAGAATAAATTTTAAATGAATCATCTTTATAGGTCTTGGTGTTCTCATCTGTTGTTTCATACTACGGGTGTATGTAGATGAAATGTGTGACATGGGGGGGGGGGAGAAATATGGCGGATAGGGTAGCCTTCACTGATCGATACTGTCGAGTCAAGAGAACTTTGGGAAAGAGATGTGACTGTGCTGGAGATGGCGGGTAGCGGTAGTAGGGTAGTCAGCCTTGGGGAAGAGATGTGACTTGAGCGCCGGCACATGATGTACTTTACTTGACTAGACGTATTAAGGTAGCCTAGACTCCTGATTAGAAGTACATACACTTCCAATCCTGTCGCGCAGTTACACTCTTATAAAGTACAATACGATCTTGGCCTTGAAATCACCGTTGTGTAGTGTAATCTCGCGCTCATAAATAGCTCTGTTGACTTTGGTAAGAAAAGTGCAACGTTCCCACATGTGAGTTCTCCCACTCCTTGTGAGTCGCTCGTAGTCTTATATTTCGTTTGATGTGAGCGGTGTGTGTGTCTGCGTGGACCTATGCGACACTTTGCATAGCAACTCTACACACAATCTTTTAAAGCAAAAAATCTCATAGTTGGAAATTTTTTAATATATTATGAATGATGTTGAAATTTTAGTGTCACATAACACATTGTGGAAAAACTTAAATCGCGAGGTTATATTCCAGAACCTGTCGCGGATCAGAAGCAATCGCGATGGCACGTGTCACTAGAAAAATGCTACTAAATTCTTATTTCTAGAGTTTAACCCCTAAATATGAGCCAAATCATGCTCCCAAATAAACCTTTAATTCCATTTAAAAGTTGACTAAGTACATGACCCGTTTAAAAAAATGGTGGACGTATGACAAATAAACAAGTAAATAAATGTTTGACGTAAATTCGTTTTTAAAAAAATGTACAGCATCGCCTGATGGCGGTTTGCCACATTTTGACATTTACAGCACGGTATGCTATTGTTACCCCTAGATTATACCAATTCACTGACTGAATTTAGTTTTGCGCTAACAGTCAGTTATCAAAACCATGTAACTGTAAACTTAATGACTGACGTTTCTTTGTTATTGACAGGGAGGGTAAACTAGGTCAACCAGGCAAAACGCCATATGGAAACTTTCAATGAAAATTTCGTGAATTCGCGAAACCCCTAAACGCGGAAGCACCAGAATCAGTTGTTGCTGTGTAGCGATCATTTCTTATGTGTCATTTAACACTCGGGATTTCTTTCTTGTGGCTTTGACAAGTTTGATAGACAACAACGCTTGCAGATACAATACCGAGGCTCGATAGACAACATCGCTGGCAGATACAGTACAGAGGCTCGATAGACAACAACGCTGGCAGATACAGTACAGAGGCTTGATAGACAACAACGCTGGCAGATACAGTACAGAGGCTTGATAGACAACAACGCTGGCAGATACAGTACAGAGGCTTGATAGACAACAACGCTGGCAGATACGGTACAGAGGCTTGATAGACAACAACGCTGGCAGATACGGTACAGAGGCTTGATAGACAACAACGCTGGCAGATACGGTACAGAGGCTTGATAGACAACAACGCTGGCAGATACGGTACAGAGGCTTGATAGACAACAACGCTGGCAGATACGGTACAGAGGCTTGATAGACAACAACGCTGGCAGATACGGTACAGAAGCTTGATAGACAACAACGCTGGCAGATACAGTACAGAGGCTCGATAGACAACAACGCTAGCAGATACGGTACAGAGGCTCGATAGACAACAACGCTGGCAGATACAATACAGAGGCTTGATAGACAACAACGCTGGCAGATACAATACAGAGGCTCGATAGACAACAGCGCTGGCAGATACAGAAGAGAAACTTGTTGGCCTAATATTCACAATAATAATAAGAAGAAGACTTTGTCATAATTGTAAACTTTGAGATTTGTGATGCCAAACTAGACTATATGGACAAAGAAATCACACAAACGGAAGTTTTTTTTGCCCCCAGGAGAAATTTTTGCAGTCGTAACACACGATTTTCGTTTCTTTTTTCCTGCTTATCAGTCCATGAGCTTAAGGTGTATGCACGATCTTCTTTTTGTTGTTTGTATAAATCTGTACTTTATAAAACAGTTGTACATCTTGATGACAAGATATACCTGTGTTAGAAATTAATGTTGCTGAGGTTGGGAGATATGCATAACATTAAATTACGAGATATTCGCCTAGAAAACTTCCGCATAAACGTAGACCAAAAAAAAAAATGCATCCGTTAAAATATGTGTAAGGTTAATGTGCAAACACAACTCTTTGACCTCATTTGGTTTTCACTGTCCCCATTTGGTTTTCACTGTCCCCATTTGGTTTTCACTGTCCCCATTTTGTTTTCACTGTCCCCATTTTGTTTTCACTGTCCCCATTTGGTTTTCACTGTCCCCATTTTGTTTTCACTGTCCCCATTTGGTTTTCACTGTCCCCATTTGGTTTTCACTGTCCCCATTTGGTTTTCACTGTCCCCATTTTGTTTTCACTGTCCCCATTTTGTTTTCACTGACCCCATTTTGTTTTCACTGTCCCCATTTTGTTTTCACTGTCCCCATTTTGTTTTCACTGACCCCATTTTGTTTTCACTGACCCCATTTTGTTTTCACTGTCCCCATTTTGTTTTCACTGTCCCGAACCGCGCGTTCTCAAACCAGACGTCCCTAACCATGCGTCTTTAAACCAGACGTCCCTAACCATGCGTCTTTAAACCAGACGTCCCTAACCGCGCGTTCTCAAACCAGACGTCCCTAACCATGCGTCTTTAAACCAGACGTCCCTAACCGCGCGTTCTCAAACCAGACGTCCCTAACCATGCGTCTTTAAAATAGACGTCCCTAACAGTCCCTAACCATGCGTCTTCAAACCAGACGTCCCTACCCGTGCGTCTTTAAACCAGACGTCCCTAACCGCGCGTTCTCAAACCAGACGTCCCTAACCATGCGTCTTTAAACCAGACGTCCCTAACCGTGCGTCCTTAAACCAGACGTCCCTAACCGCGCGTTCTCAAACCAGACGTCCCTAACCGTGCGTCCTTAAACCAGACGTCCCTAACCGTGCGTCCTTAAAGCAGACGTCCCTAACCGTGCGTCCTTAAACCAGACGTCTCTAAGCGTGCGTCCTTAAACCAGACGTCCCTAACCAGACGCGCCTAACCATAAACATCACTAACGATGTGGAGCAGCTTGTTTAACTTGTGATTGCTGCCTGGTGGTGTACCCCTCAACTGGGAATTGATTGGTTGCACCAAAAACCCGATCGTTACTTTGAACATTTTACCCAGGGATGTAACACATTGTCCTCGTTGTAAAGCCAGGCGTACACCTCGCCTTTTAGTTAACTAGCTCTATTGACGACCCTAGTCAAATGTAGGTTAACAACACCGGCAGGCAGGGTAGTGACAGTGGGTTCAAACGATCAGCTGGCGTCTACCTGCTTTACCCAGCCGCGGCGTGGCAGTCGGGGCGGGGGGTTGGGTTATGAAACGGGTTTTCCAGTACAAGCGGAGAGGCTTGTTTTCGTGTAGGGAAACATCTGACACTCAAGACTTAGATACAGTTGTAGGACGCGGAAACTGGGAGACTGGTCGCTGTAAGCACGCCTTCCTCGCCTGTGTGTGCCCTCTCACACTAAGAGGCGTCATTCCCCTCTTGTGCTTGTTGTTGAACTAAACTGTTTACTTGACATATTATGGTCGGACGTAAACAATTCCAAATCTGTGATTGGCTCTATCATTCCAGATGTGTGGACGTGGACTCGAAGATGTGTGATATTCTGTTTTAACTTGAACTCGGGCTGAAGTTTTAAGATTACAAAGCTGAAAGAGTTCAAATTGAATCACACTCAAAGTCGACTAGAAACTTTAAAAAAAATTTCCAGGAAACAGATTTGCCCCGTGAGTACAGAAAAGGGAGATAGACGTTACGAGCCTTCTTATGGCGGGGGTGGACGTGGTCCCCCTTTCAGACGACGCCGCGTTTAAGTGCAGAAAGGGAATTGTTGCGGATGGACGGATTCCGTACCCTTGCCGAAATTATCGTGTGTTCACAGCTCTGTGATAGTTTTCAAACACTCTGTGAAGAAACGAACAAAGGTTCAGCGACACTGGCGAAGAAGGTCTCTGTGGTTTAGACCAGCGCAGTGACCTCTGGTGGAACAGTAGGAACTCAGGCATTAATGTATCCAAGCTGCCGTGGATTCGTACGTGAATGATATTTTGTTCTCCAGCCCTGGTGTGGTGTAGTAGTGGATATTGATCAGATCCTGCTGTCGGCTCACAAACAACGGGAGGCAGAGATAGCCTGGTTTTGTTGGTGGGGGAAAATGCATGGCCTGGTGAGTCTTGATGGTGGAACGCTTTCAGAAAATATTCACTTGGATCATCTTATCGGTAAGGGTTTCCTTGTTTTCTTTGTATCCTCGGGCGTAGTCAGCGTCTTTAGTTTTCAGTAATGACTACATTTTTATTCTATGACGTGCATTATTATTATTATTTTTTTGATGAGATGGTAATGCTCAAGGTCGTTAAGTTATAATCAGTTCAACATTTTATTTTTATTGCTTGATTTGACGCTAATATAGCATATATGTTCTTTTTAAAATCATATTATTTGTCAATTACGATAGCTGCTATTCCCAAGGCCAAGTGTCCACAGTTTTCATCATAGATTAGTTAGTTGAGTTGTGTAAGCTTATTAAAGTTCCTTACGTAAGAAACATACTGATTTCTTTCTGTTCCGTGCAGATCGACTTCATCGACTGCTTCGATTGGTCCTGTATAGAATTTTCAGTTAACCGAATTCCAACAAAAGCCGAAAGAAAAGAGAAGAGATAAAATAGTTCCTTAGCACTCAGTGACCCTAACACTTCATCTTCGGTAGCCCAGCCCCCCCCCCCTTTTTTTTTCCCCTTAACCGTGTTGTCTCCCACCTACTGTACTGAACATAACCCAGGGCCCTTTGAGCTTAAAATAGATATTTCAGTTAACCGAATTCCAAAAAAAGCCGAAAGAAAAGAGAAGAGATAAAATAGTTCCTTAGCACTCAGTGACCCTAACCCTTCATCTTCGGTAGCCCAGCCCCCCCCCCCTTTTTTTTTTCCCCTTAACCGTGTTGTCTCCCACCTACTGTACTGAACATAACCCAGGGCCCTTTGAGCTTAAAATAGATATCTTGGTCATGAAGGAAAAGCAGGAAGGCCACATTTCTCCCCACATCCGTCCAACAGGCCGGTGTCTCGCGTCAGGGACTTTGTTGGTGTCGATTGTGTAAGAGGGGGAAGACCCCTGCCTGGGATTTAAATATCCCTAATCGTTGTACTAAAAGGACGGTTAACCTGTTTTGTTCAATAAAAATAACGTGTCGTAACTCATCAACTTATCGTGATGCTCATTGTGGGGGGGGGGGGTGTCCTCGCTCTCAGTGTTGTATAGGCATAGGACCAACCTTTTACTATATAAGTCAACATTAGTGAAACCACAGAATGCAGACATACGAGGTGACTATGGCAACGTGTCCCACATTACTAATTCCCATGGCAAAGTGTCCTACATTAATGATTCCCATGGCAAAGTGTCCTACATTAATGATTCCCATGGCAAAGTGTCCCACATTAATGATCCCTCTGAATAAGTGGTCTGTAAACGTCCTAAAACCTATCACGGTTGGGGGGGGGGGCACAAATAACCCACGTATTAGCCTATGTCCCCATCCTGTCTCCTCATGTATGACCTTAGTTTGATCTCCTTAATCTTACCGTGACTCGGTAGGTTATTAACCCCCACCCCCGATGTGAACAGTTTGAGAAAAGCCGAATAGCTATCTTAGCAAGACTGAAGATGGTGTTTACTCCTATGGTGGACATTCCCTGCTGTATTCCCCAAAGTGGCAAATTATAAGCCGGCGGAAAAAGCCAAAGCCTAAGTAAGGCTTTTGTATGGGCCTTCAACAACACAACTCAAGGAAACCCAATGATACATGTCTTAAACACACTGAATATATTGTAAAATAAATTTTATTTTTCATTTAAATACTTTGAAGTTTAACCCTTTTCCATTGTTTAATATATATAAACAAAGAACCACAAAGCTTTACAACAGATAGGTTAGCAGGAAGTGGGGTGGAGGGGGCTGTTCGCCCCAGCGACAGTCTTTTCCTTACATTGATTGCGGGGCGGCATTTCCGGACAGCTGAACATTTTTTTTCGGGGGGGGGGGGGGGGGGAAAAAAAAGATTGGCCTGCATTTTGGGTGGCACTAACCCAAGTTATGCTACTGGGCCTCACATGCTATCTAAAAACTGGATTCAGTAAATCAATCTTCAACATTCAGTAAATCAATATTCAACATTCAGTAAATCAATCTTCAACATTCAGTAAATCAATCTTCAACATTCAGTAAATCAATCTTCAACATTCAGTAAATCAATATTCAACATTCAGTAAATCAATCTTCAACATTCAGTAAATCAATCTTCAACATTCAGTAAATCAATATTCAACATTCAGTAAATCAATCTTCAACATTCAGTAAATCAATATTCAACATTCAGTAAATCAATATTCAACATTCAGTAAATCAATCTTCAACAGTCATAGCCAAATATGAAAAGTGTAGAATAATGCTACCCTTCATCCACCCGCCACCCCCGAGAGGGTCATTTACCATGAACTAGTCCAAAAGTGCAGACTAGAACCGTCCGGGGTAGAAAGTGCTGACAGGGATATCAGCCAACAACTCATCTTGAAGTGGGCCGGTACGTGGATCACTGTGACCTCGGCTGCTGTCACTTAATGGGGTCACTGGACGAAATAACACTGGGGCAGAGGAAAAAGGTGGGAGGGGGAACAAGGGGCTAACTATATGTTTTTAAAAGAAAATTATTTGTATTTTTAACAACTGTTTCTGAAATAACTCGATCTCTGTCTGGTTATGGAATAAGATTATTATAACTTGTTCACAACGTTTGACGCAACCCTTGCCCTATGACGTAAGTTGTTTTGTCAGCTCACTCTCTCTCGCTCGCCCCGCCCACCCAGTTGTTGACTGGATGACTGCTTTCACGGAACTTCTTCCTCTCGCCATTCTTTCTCAACTACCGGATATGATATGTAATGTTGTTCAAACGTCGGTCCCGTCATTTTAATATATTCATTAGTCAAGGGGGCCAGCATTTCAAGGCGCACACACCTTTTCCTTCCTTTCTTTCCACAAGGCACGCCTCACTCACCCTCCGCGACCTAGCAGCCCATTCCTTCTCTCGGAGATTTTATTTTTTCTCCGTTTGACTCGTGTTCAATTTCTATTATAAGAGTCATTTGCTTACGTTGAAGTACTACAAAATAATCACCAAGCTGCAGTTTTAGAACTGAAGACTTCAAATGTTTATAATAAAATACTAAAATACAGTTTTATTTTCGTTTTCATCAAATTTTAAATATTTCATGGGGGGGGGGGGGGNGTCCCGCCAGAGCCGTGTGTTCGCCACAGGCCACAGAGGTTGAGAATCACTGAGCTGCACCGTACCAGGACTAGGTCGTCTAGCTAAACGCCGACCTTGTCCCGGTGTGTTTCTCTTTCCGTGCTGTTGTATTTTAAACGCTGGCTAAATCTTGCTGGGGGGGGGGTGGTGGTTGTTCTGTTGTTGTGGTTAAATAGAGCGCTTTTATGTTGGCAATATTGATTGCTTCATTTGCAAAAAACACTTTATTTATAATTTATTACCTTTGATTTCATGGCGCAAGCATATTTGTTACTTGGGGACGAATCAAGGTTTCTATTTGTATAAGATGGCAAGGCTATAGCGACAAAGGGTTAAAACATAATTTTTAAAATTGTGTGTGTGTGGTTGAACAGTCCTGTAGCACTCATTGTACAACCGGTTGTGAGAAATCAAATACACGTATAGAATGGTCGACAATCGTCATGGGATTTATTTTTCAAGTCACAATTGACCAGCTCACTAAGAAGATAGACATAAGCGTTTACTTGACTGTGTCTAGCTTTCCGTTGACGTCCCCGGAATAGTAGGCTTGCACACTACCGTCTTGAATAAATTTATATAACTAATTTATATCGTATAAAGAATACCTTAACACAATAGACGGCGCCTCCATGCCGAGGAAAAGCTGCTCCCGTGCAGTGTTTCTTTCTGAAATTTTCCCCCGGGGGGGAGGGGGGGATTTCAGATTTTTGGGGTGGCACTTCAGATTTTTAGGGGGGGGGGCAGTGCCAGCAATTCCAGTTGATTTATTGTTGGACATATTTTTTCACCGGGGGGGGGGGGCGCGTTGGGACTCTCCTCCCCCCCCCCCCCCAGGGGGGGGGGCGCACATGGACCCCCCCTCCCCCCCCCCCCGAGATATAGCTGAAAGAAACCCTGCTCCCGTGGCGGACCAGTAAAAAGCATTTGCCCCCCCCCCCTCAACCCCTTTTTGTCTTTGTTAAGTACATTGAATTTTACCATTGAATTGACTTGTCTGAAGACGATTTGCGCGAATGCCTCCTCGCCCCACCCCCTTTCGCGTGACCCTGCGTCTCGCGGTTGAGGTGTACTGTACTGTGGACGATTATTTTTAACCCTCCGTAATAAGCGTTAAAGTATTCAGCATATCCATTGGATATTGACATCACTACCCGGTCAGTACTGGGAATTTCCTCTGGCGACTCGAACATTTCCAATGCCGCGATCTAAAAATAGGTCTTCAGTAATCTTTGACGTTGTAATCGTTAGTTAAACAAAACTGCCAACGGCATGGTCATGGTATTTATGTTACATTTCCCAAACAGACGTTCAAAACCACGTATGTTCATTTTTTTCATTATGTTATATTTCTTGTTTTCTTTAAATTTCTTGTTTTCTTAATATTTCTCGTTTTCTAAATATTTCTTCTTTTCTTTATATTTCTTCTTTTCTTTATATTTCTTATTCTCTTTATATTTCTTTTTTTCGTTATATTTCTTGTTCAATCGAAAATCCGCCCTACAAGATAGTTATTTTATTGATCCAAATAAATGGAAACTTTTTAAAAATTATTGACATATATACATTTTTCATTTTCAAAACTCTAACAAGCCATGGCCATTTAAAAGTATTTCCCAAGCTCAAAAAGTCAACCGTTTTATGCCATATAGCTTCTTTCAATTATTGATAAAGTGGACTTAATGAGAGCGATTATTTGATTATTGAGATTTTTTTAACAGCCGGGAAAGGGGGAGGGGGGGGGTTGCAAGTTGGTAGATTATGAAAGATTTGGGTACAAGTGAATTTTTATATGCTTAGTTCGAAAGAAAGAATTCGCCCCAAGAAAGAATTCGCCCCGATCCAGCTGATTGTGGTATCCACTATCACCCTCCACACTGCATACGCCCATTTTTGTTATTTGTTTTAAAAATGCATATTTATTCAAACAGTAGTTTAGGTGAAGGTAGTTTGTATATGAGCAATGTTGCTTGCTGTCTTGATAAATAAGTCTCTTAAATCGGTGTTTGACGAGAAGCGACGCATTCCCACCACAACAGGTAAATGAATGCCGAAGTTCAGTATTGCATGATTGTTGCCATAATTGCTGGATAACGTCTGAAATGTTTGAACCATAATGTGGCGCTGCAGGTGATTTCATAGAATGCTTAGATGCATGATATAAAACGTGTCCAACAATAATTTCCAAACAACTCTACTCGTCATCACAAGCGATGGCTTTCTTTTTTTTCCTTTTTTTTCAAACTGTTTGTGTCAAATGTAGTGGCGTCAGGGTGGTTTATCGAAATGGGGGGAGGGAAGACATCTTATAGGTTCCCCCCCCCCCCCCCCAGACATGCTCTATGGCCGCCATTCCGTGGACGCCTGACTCTAGTTTCCATGCCCATGGCACAAGTGGCGCCAATGCCAGATTCTATTTGACACGCCGAGGGATTCATTGTGTTAGAGTGTTTGAACGTTTTGTCGTCAGCGCAACCCTCTTGTGATGGTGTCGGTAACCCTTTACTCTTGATGTTCCTTCACAGTAAACCTCACCGGCAGGGGGCGCGTCACCATGGAGGACTTTGAGCTTCTTAAAGTGCTGGGCACCGGTGGTAAGTAAACACACCCTTGTAAATAAGCCGCGGTGGTTTATAGTCGAGCGATCCACGGCATGGTCCACCACTGGGGAATGACATGTCGGGATCGGAGGGGTGGTTTATAGTCGAGCGATCCACGGCACGGTCCACCACTGGGGAATGACATGTCGGGATCGGAGGGGCGGCAACCCCCCCCCCCTCCCCCATTAGAGCTCTCTGCCCTCTTAAGAAAAATATAAATAAATTTAGCATTACTTAAGTATTGTTTCCAATAATATATTTTGAATTGTCATTGTAAACCAGTGACCCCCCCCCCCTTCCGATTGAATATCAATATGTTATAAAGGACATGGAGAAAATAAATATTTACGCTAGCTTGTATAACTATTTTAGTAGGTGTCATAAAACCCATGTTAACATCTTAGGAGTCGCTGATGACATACTTAAAAAACAGAAATACCAAAAAAGTGTTATTAATGGTCAGTCGTGACACCACTATGCAATCAAAAACCCTGCACCACTTTACACCACCATCACCCTGCACCACTTTACACTACCATCACCCTGCACCACTTAGCACTACCATCACCCTGCACCACTTTACACTACCATCACCCTGCACCACTTAGCACTACCATCACCCTGCACCACTTTACACTACCATCACCCTGAACCACTTAACACTACCATCACCCTGCACCACTTAACACTACCATCACCCTGCACCACTTTACACTACCATCACCCTGCACCACTTTACACTACCATCACCCTGCACCACTTAACACTACCATCACCCTGCACCACTTAACACTACCATCACCCTGCACCACTTTACACTACCATCACCCTGCACCACTTAACACTACCATCACCCTGCACCACTTTACACTACCATCACCCTGCACCACTTTACACTACCATCACCCTGCACCACTTTACACTACCATCACCCTGCACCACTTGACACTACCATCACCCTGCACCACTATACACTACCACCACCCTGCACCACTTTACACTACCATCACCCTGCACCACTTAACACTACCATCACCCTGCACCACTTTAAACTACCATCACCCTGCACCACTTTACACTACCATCACCCTGCACCACTTTACACTACCATCACCCTGCACCACTTAACACTACCATCACCCTGCACCACTTTACACTACCATCACCCTGCACCACTTAGCACTACCATCAACCTGCACCACTTTACACTACCATCACCCTGCACCACTTAGCACTACCATCACCCTGAACCACTTTAAACTACCATCACCCTGAACCACTTAACACTACCATCACTGCACCACTTTTAACTACCATCAACCTGCACCACTTTACACTACCATCACCCTGCACCACTTAGCACTACCATCACCCTGAACCACTTTAAACTACCATCACCCTGAACCACTTAACACTACCATCACTGCACCACTTTTAACTACCATCACCCTGCACCACTTTACACTACCATCACCCTGCACCACTTTAAACTACCATCACCCTGCACCACTTTAAACTACCATCACCCTGCACCACTTTACACCACCAGCACCCTGCACCCCCATTATTACGCTGCTTTATTACCCTACACTACAACTACTACTCTACACCACCGCTATCCACCACACCCACATCCGATGACCGTGTTTTGAAATGGCTCCCCCTCAGCTTACGGCAAAGTTTTCCTGGTGCGCAAACGAGGCGGTCGTGACGTGGGCAAGCTGTACGCCCTCAAACAGCTGAAGAAGGCGACCATTGTGCAGAAGACGAAAACCACGGAGCACACGCGGACCGAGCGCCAGGTCCTGGAGGCCATCAGACAGTCACCGTTCCTGGTCACGCTGCACTACGCATTCCAGACAGACTCCAAGCTGAACCTTATTTTAGGTATACCTCATTTACAGCGATGCAATGTTGCTTGCATGAAATGTAGCTTGCGTTTCACTTTAACTCTGACCATTGGGAACGTGAATTTTATCCTTATGCCAGAAATGAAAAGTTTTCCACAACAAAAAAAAAAAATCATTGAGCAATGTTATTATTATTTGTTTGTTGAATCTTAAATGTATGATTATTGATAAGGTTTAGATCAATTAGGTTTTCAAAATGGAAGACTCTTTTATCCTTATGCCAGAAATGAAAAGTTTTCCACAACAAAAAAAAAATCATTGAGCAATTTTAATTTTTAAAAATTTTGTTAAAATGTAGTGGGTTTTGAATATGAAAGACTTTTATGTTATTGTCTTATTATGTTATTGTGTCATGATGTTTTTGTGTTATTTCATTATTGTGTTACCTATCCAACAGTGTTACGTATCACTTTATGATGTAATAATTTTCTCCTAGAGTGTAATACTTCTACTGTTATATCTGTGTGACCAGATTTTGTGAATGGAGGTGAAATGTTTACCCACCTGTACCAAAGGGAACACTTCACAGAAGATGAGGTTCGCATCTATATTGGAGAGATCACTTTAGCCCTGGAGACACTGCATAAGGTAGGTTCTGCACTGCCTGACTGACATACAAAGCATAAGACTCTGAATGTCTCTTTCCTTTTTGGCATAGGTATATAAAAATTGTTGGAGGTTAGGGTTTGTAAGTTTTGTCTTAATAATTGTTTCAAGCCCATCTGCCTCATATTACACCAAAATCCGATTTTGTTGTCATCTAGTTTATAGGTTATTATTATAGCTAGATTTCTAAGCTAAGCCAATGGTTGAGCTGTCAAACTGATTTGGTCTATCTCTGAAACTAACATATGCTCCCAACTGCAACAGGTGTTGAAGATTTAAAACATTGTCTGAAAAGTCAGTCAAGTTAGGACCCAAAAGTTACAATGACATGAATTGCCCCAAAAGTGCTGTATCTGGTATTACGGGTTTGGCATTGGGTTATGTGTAATCTCCTCAGACCATTCTGGAGAGACATTGGGTTATGTGTCATCTCCTCAGACCATTCTGGAGAGACATTGGGTTATGTGTAATTTCCTCAGACCATTCTGGAGAGACATTGGGTTATGTGTAATCTCCTCAGACCATTCTGGAGAGACATTGGGTTATGTGTAATTTCCTCAGACCATTCTGGAGAGACAGTTGAATAGGGGTTTCTGCTGTTGTTGTTTGTAAGCCACATGCTCTACCTGGAATATGACCTTTAATTGTCACATTGTTCCTGTAGCAAGGAGAGGAACCACCTTGGCTGTACAGGAAGCTTAGTGACCAAGACAAACACTAATGATAAAACTTTGTCATTAAAACTGCCCCCCATTTTATCTAATAAATGGCTTTGAGTCAACTCTTTCTAATTACAGGCCCCCAAAAGATAATTTTTGCAAAATTATTAATCACTATCATAAGCTAAATATAACCCCCTGACATTACAACCTATGACAACATATCACATTTCAAAATCTCATCCGTTTTACAAGACACTGTCTAAGTCATTAATCTTCCTTATTTAACCTTACGTGAGCCATGGGAGAGGAGAAAAGTGGGGGGTGTGTCTTACAACAGCCTAAAATTCTGTCAAAGGAACTGGGAAATAATAGTGTTGACAAAAATTGCTAGTCTGGGATTCATGTTAGCCTTTTGACATTTTTAAACCAGCATTTCTGATATTTTATCCTGCACAAAGTTGGTGGGTAGCATTTTCCCAGTCCTAGTGATGCCCCCTTGATGTCAAAACAAAATAAAAACATTCTTTCTTTTTAATCCCTTCCAGTGTTTGCCTTGGTGGCTCATCTCTCTCTTCAAACAATATTTTCTCATTTAAAAATGATTGCAACATTCTGTGGGGGAGAAAAAAAAATCTAACATTTTTTTTGTGTGTATAATTCACAGCTTGGTATTATTTACCGTGACATTAAACTTGAAAACATTCTTCTGGACTCGGATGGACACATTGTCTTGACTGACTTTGGACTCAGCAAAGAATTCTTGCCATCTGATCCTGTAAGTTTTCTTTGTTTATGTATATATTGGATGTTGAATTGAGTCAGTCGTGAAGTTATGGTATGATGAAAAAATAAGTTTGCTCTTTATTAAAATGACTTGCTCTTTATTAAAATGACTTGCTCTTTATTAAAATGACTTAAATATTAGGAATATGTGTTCAGTTGTCATGGACTTCCTAATAAAATAATTGTATTTCAACCAACAAGTTGGAGATCGCTTGACCGGGAAAAAAATGAGATCGAAGATCATCTTTAACATTGAATGTACTTTAAATTGATCCTTTCTGTTTTTGATGACAGAATCACCGCACTTATTCCTTTTGTGGCACCATTGAGTACATGGCTCCAGAGGTTGTCAAAGGCGGCCATCTCGGACATGATTTTGTAAGTTGGTCATTTTTAGCTTTAAATCCTTAAATTAACCGTTTGGTTTAAGTGTAATTTATTCTTACTCTAAAAAAAGCGAATTTTTTTTTGTATCTGCAGTCAGTTAGTCTATTATAATGTTAGTCAATAACAGCAATCAAGATTGATGATAAATTGTATTTTCCACTGAACACAGGCTGTTGATTGGTGGTCTCTTGGTGTTTTGACCTATGAACTCCTTACTGGGGCTTCACCTTTTACAGTAGATGGAGAGAAAAATTCACAGTCAGAAATTTCAAAGTGAGTATAATTTCTCAGCCTGGATAGGACAAAGTCTGAGTGGACATAAACTCAATACTTAAAAATGTCATTTTTTAAGTCTTTTTTTAAAATTCATAATAGGTAAGAAACAAACGCATGTATAAATTTCATTGTAACCTTTGGGTTATCTTGCACTAACGGAACATTTACACATCTCCACAGGCGTATCCAGAAATGCAATCCACCTTACCCTTCTCATTTCTCACGTGAGGTCAAGGACATGATACAGAAACTGCTGACCAAAGACCCATCCAAACGTTTGGGATCTAGGGGAGCTGAAGAAGTCAAAAGACATCCATTTTTCAAGGTATAGCTGCTTACCCTGTCCTTGCGCTGAATATTAAGGTCTGGTCATTATTCATTGGCTTTTAGCATGCACACAGAAATTTCATTGACTGTATGTAATTATCAAATTGGATTTGCAAAAATTTTAGAAATAGTTTAATATTTTTTCTTCCATCATTTAAAACTCAATTTAATATAAAAACTTTTTTTTTGTGTTTTTTAAATTTAATTAGAACTTCATTATTTTTAAATACAGTTATACAAGTAGAACAGCAACTGAAAAAAATTATGGAGGTGCCTTGATTTTTTGTCTTATGGAATATATAAACAGATTTTGTGTCCTAGTTTAATAATGTTTTTAAATTAATGTCAACTCTTGTAATCATTGTTATTACACAATTTAAGACATAGTTCTTATGGCAATTTTCAGTCCTTGAATTGGGATGACCTAGCCCAAAAGAAGGTGCCCGCTCCATTTGTACCTAACATTCGCCACGAGATGGACTTGAGTAACTTCTCTGAGGAGTTCACCAGGATGGACGCCACTGAGTCCCCTGCTATAATACCAAACATGGGAGAAAAGCATTTTAAGGTTTGTTAATAACGCGGGAGGGGGGGGGGGGGGATTTTAAAATGTTCTAATTGTAAAATTGTTTTTTGTTTAAAAATTTTTTTTTTTTTAGGTCTGAAAAAAAAATTGTTAAATGAATAAAAAAAAAAAAAAAAAGACATTTCCATAAGAGGATTGTAGGGAATGGACTGAGTTTGAAAAAATTGATTGATTTTAATATACAAGTATGTTTTAAGCCTCTCTTCAAGTAAATGAATGAGCTGTGTATTCTTTGCAGGGCTATTCCTATGTGGCACCATCCATCATCTTCACTGAGAACTCTGTCAGTGCCGACCTGCTACACAAGAACATAGAGCACCAACCTGATGATGCCACAATATTCACTGCTAGTCACTTTAAAGTAAGATTTCTCATTTCTCTTTAATAATAATTTTTAAAAGTTGTTCATATTATCTTTTATCTATACAAAAACATCATTTTTTAAACAACACCGTAGGACTATTCCAATAACTAAGAACAGTTATCACATGTCGACCACACATATGTTTTTTTCCCCAGAACTCTCCATTCTTTCAAAAGTATGAACTAGACATGAAAGCTCCAGCACTTGGGGATGGATCGTTCTCAATTTGCAGGTAACTAACTTGGCTTAGTTTTAAAATAAACATTTTCTTTTCAAAATGTAAAGAGAGAGAGAGATTTAAAAATAGATTTTTTTTAAAACAACAAAAAAAAAACATTGCCACTTATTTGGCATTTGGTTAATTTAAATCGCTGGTATAACATTGTCAGGAATAAGGTTCAATGAAGACTATTATTCTTTAGCCACAGATCCCACTGGGCATTTGCTTGTATTGAGTTACGTTAACATTGCTTTTGACACATTTTTAATTTAATTTTTCTATTTCTTGCCTTTCAAAATGACTTCACAACAAATGTTATTATGTTCTGTTTCTTTATCATTAATCACTAGAAAATGTCGGAACATGTCCACCAATCAAGTGTGTGCTGTGAAAATTGTCAGTCGCAGAATCAACTGTAACCGTGAGGTGCAACTCCTGAGTCATTGCCAGGGACATCCAAACATCGTCCAGCTGATTGATGTCATGGTGGATGAAGTAAGTAATATACGAGTTATATCAGAGTTGGTAGGTTTCATCTTCATTATATTTGCCAATTCTTAAGCATTTTAATGAGAGTATTATTTCATGTTACTTGGCAGGTCACTGACCTAACTATATTTTTGAAGTAACAATTTTTTGCTTACCAGGGGTACGTTAAGCATTTGAAGTTGATTTTTTTTATAACCAGCAGTCCCTAAACTTAAAATTTTTTGGTGAATCCTTTTTTTTTAAAATTCATTGCATAATGTTCTGTTTTGGTGTCTTAATCTTTTGGTAAAAACGTTTTTTTTAAATTGTTTAGATTATAATGCTGGCAGTGCTGTTGATAAATATCCATTTACTTGGTTGGTAGTTAAGTTTTGAAAACATTGATAAACTTTCTGAATGACTTTCTTTCAGTTAATTGCTATAAATTCACAATTTTGATGCCATCATTTCAAGTTATTAATTTTTTTTCTCAAATAAGTATCACACATACATTGTGATGGAGCTGTTGAAAGGGGGAGAACTCCTGGCCAGGCTGAGACAGAAGAAAGTCTTCACCGAGGTTGAGGCTAGTGAGCTGATGTGGAAACTTGTCAAGGCTGTAGAGTTCATGCACAGTCGCGGTGTGGTCCATCGGGATCTCAAACCAGAGGTGTGTGCCACAGAGATTACTTCACTTGTACCCATCCACTTTAACAGAATTTAAATCTTTACCAAAAAATCTCATTCCCCCTGGGATCCATGAATTACATTTTTGTGTGTGTTTGTTTAGGGTTTTTTTTTTTTATTATATCAATTAAGTGCAACAAAGTTTTAAAAAAAAAATTGATTGCATTGATTGACAGGGCCACTTCCTAAAGCATCATGTGTTGATAGTTAAAGTAGAAAAAAAAAGGTAATAAATCATTTAAATGCTGATTTCTTTCCTTGCCAGAATTTGTTGTTTGTGGACAAGTCAGAAAAGGCAGAACTGAAGATTGTAGATTTTGGATTTGCCAGCATGAACCCCAAAAATGAAACGATGATGACTCCATGTTTCACCCTACCTTACAGTGCGCCAGAGGTTCTCAGACAGATGACAAACAACAAAGGTGGCTATGATGAGAGCTGTGACCTCTGGAGTCTCGGAGTTATTTTAGTAAGGACTTGTATTTTGACTGGCTTAAAAAATGTCATATCTGAATGCCATTTAAAAACCGATATATATATATATATATATATATATATTTGCTTTATACATTATTTATATTTACCATGCATAAGTTTCTCAAAAATAAAATTATTTCTATAATTCCTTATAATATCATTGTAAACAACTATATTTCCATTAAATCCAACGTATAGACTTTAATGGAAGTCTACATTTAAAGCTAATCTAACACTAATTTGTTTGTTCAGTACTCCATGCTGTCTGGGAAGGCCCCATTCCAGAATTCTAATGGTCCCGACACTGCACTTAATATCATGCAGAGGATCAAAGATGGAGAGTTTGACCTGTCAGGACCCGAGTGGACGGATGTGTCTGCCCCAGCCAAACAACTCATTAAAGGCGAGTGAAGATTTAGTGCATTTTAAATAACAGTTACATCATACGGCTCCCTTGTCCATTTGTTCAGATAGATCACCGAGGGGGGAATAATTGTTATTTAATGTGTTTAGGAGAAACCCATCCGTAACAGGAGTCCTTGAAATTTTTTGTTTGGAAACTATGATCATTATTTGAATGTGATGTTTTATTTTGAAGACATGAATGCTTTTTATGATTAATTTAATAAATACAATAGATGATTAAGTTGAATTATCAAATTAATTTATATCACATTTATTATTATTTTTAGTTTTTTTTAAACTAAAAAATTGTGAAATGTTAGTTTATATTTAAGTTAACAACTTTCTCCAATCAATTGTTGTAGGTCTGCTGACTGTTGAACCAAAAGAGCGCATCTGTATGCACGATCTGCTGAAACACAAGTGGCTCAGAAAGAATGTCAGGTCCCCTGTATCCAGCATGCCGCTAAGGACACCTGGTGTACTCAGTTCACATAACAACGCCGTCAAGGACCAGATCAACTGCACCATGGAAGCCTTCCACCAGGCCACAAGAGATGGTTTTCGTCTTCAGGAGGTGGCATCGGCCCCACTGGCCAAGCGGCGCAAGCAGAAGAAACATTCTGTGGACACCAGAAGCAGCTCCACCGACAGCAACAATTCCAGCTCCACAACGTCATCGTGCGGTGCCCACAAGTCCCCCGCAAGGCAGTCGCCGGTGAGAGCTCTCTCACGAAACTCCAGTGCCTCCAGCATATCTCAAAGCTCTGTCTGCAGTATGGGGTTCGTCCCCAGCCTTGCCAACCTGCCGTCACCCCTGGCCACAACATTCAAACGATCCACCCCAGACATGCCACAGACCTCACCAAGTGCCAGCAATATCAGCGGTGCTTCAACAGCCACGTCCACGCCTGGTCCAGCCAGCACATCACCACCTCAGAGAATATCACCCCTGTGCTGTGAAGCGCCCAAATCCCCACTCCCCCTGTCTGTAATACACATTCCCTCGGTCGACAGCCTAGAGCAGGAAGACACTGATCTAGGCAATGAGGCTGTCCTCGCAAAAGGCAAGCGCGCGTCTAGAAAAAATAACAACAATATCATTCCTCCCTTTCGTCTTACCCGGGGGCAGAAAAGAAAATTAGAGAAGTCATCTGAGGAGAAAGATGATGATGAAGAAGACGGAGGTGACAGTGATTGTGTTATTGTTGAAAAAAATTATCCAAGTCATAGATCTGGAAAGAGTGCATTTAAACGCTTGAAGTCTGAGACCATTGTGATAGACTAAAGATATCTGTGTTGATAACAGAAGGACAATTTATTACGAAGTAACAGAGCACCATGCTATGTGGCTGATATATTTGGTGGCTCCCTTCTTTCAGAGAGTATTTGAATATGAAAGGCCATGGGAAAGCTAACAAGTCTAAAAATACTTAATACTTTTTTAAACAACTTTTTAATGAAAGTTATTGAAAGCAAGCTTTTTCATAGGTTATTTATTCAACCTTTTTTTTATCGATGACACAAGGAATACATCCTAGTCCAGACTTTGGGTGGGAGGAGATCATCAGCACAGCTGTTATGAGGATTCCATGTCAGGACTGCTTGGCAAGTCAAAAAGTGCTCAATGATATTAAACCTTGCCAAGACTCATTTTTGTTACCTAGTGATACATAGGTGATCCCACTACATGATACCAAGTGATACATGGGTGATCCCACTACTTGTTGAATTCCTTCAGCAATACCAGACTTAATTAATGATATGGGCTAGAATTCTGAAGGCTTTTCTGTCCATGTTGCCAATGTTGGCTCTACTTTGTTTGTTTTATTTTTTGTTGATGTGATGTTTTCAATAAGGAGTTAAACAGTAGAGAAGCACTCCAGGCACTTGAATTTTTAGAGTAATAAATGGCTCGATCAACATAATGTCACTTTCATGTTTTAAAAAGTATAACTTTATTGTTGAGTGTTACTGTTGCATATATTGATAGGAATTTCTCAATTCCTAATTTTGATGAAAGATTGGCCAAAATGCCTTTTAATTAAAATATATATCTACAAATGGCAAAACTGATGTAATAAAAATAGACATTCTCTGTATATTTACTTTTTTTTTTTTTAAATACATTTTTAATGCTGGAAACTATTGAGGTTTTAATAAATTAATTTCTTCAAGGCCAACATTTACATATAAAATCATGCATGTATTAAGTTTTTAAAAAAAGTCTTGATTGTGAAAATTTATACACTTGTATTAACTACAGAATTTGTTTTTCACATGTATTTAGGGTTAAATATATTTGATAAAAAAAACTCTATTTTGTACAAGTACTGTAATGTCTTCAATGTAATTTACAACTACAGCAATGCATTTTTGTCTTCTTAAAGCCATGTGATACACTGTGTCATTGTTTAGTATAAGGGAAGGCTGGAACTAGCTGGTTTTAAATTCTGTTGTATACTTAGGGCATCAGGCTGCACAGCTAATGATGCCAAATATTTTTAATTCTCTAATTATTTTAATTAAGATATTATGGAATTATGTCGATATAAAAATTGTTACACTTTATTTACAAAGCAATTTTTTAAGTTGTAAGGTAAGTTCATTGAGAGCTTAAGCTGTAAGTATTTCACCTAACATTGAATTAGCCTCTTTAAGCTCCAGCAGAGTAAACACAATAGGTGAAGACATATTATGTTAGAGCTGACTCCAGGAAAAAAAAATTGAATTTTTTTACATGTGTGGGGATACTTTGTTATGATGACTTGTCAGCATGCCATTCAAAATCCTACATGATAGACATGCCTTTCTGTCTTTTCATTGCTTTTTTTTTTTTTTTCCTTTTATCACTTTTATTTTTTGAAAGTGAAAGAGAGCTAGCTGAAATATAATTTGTTTTGACAGATCCTTCAAGTATTAAAAGGATCAACCTTACGATTGCCTATCATTGTGTATAATGTTTTTTTGTCTTGGTAATTTGAAATTCATTGTAAATTTTTTCTGACTCCCTTTAAAAGAAAAATCATGTCTTTCATAATCTTGATGAAGTTTCTTGCCTTAAACATGAGATATTGGACTGTGATGGTTGCCTTGTATGGTTTCAAGATGAAATTGTTGACATTCTGATAGTCCTTACAATAATTCTCAAGATGTTTCCGAGTTTTTTATTGCAGTGCAAACTCTTTGATCCTCTAAATTTATAGGATGGAAATTTAGACTGGGAAAAACAAATTATAAACATTGACTAAATTCAAATACCATTTTATTTTCCATAAAAGGTATGAAAGGAGCGTTTTAAATGGATCACTTTTTCAGGTTTGTTTACCTTAAATTTCAAACACTATTGAAATGCTTAGTGTAATTTTTAAATAATTTGAGATGTCCACTATTATTAGAAACTATCTACTTTAAAGATACCTGTTGTGGTAAAAATTAAGTATCTTTACATCAAGAAAGGCTCATATGCCTTGAATAAACATTTTTTTTGTGTTTTTAAAAAAAAAAAAAATTATAATTCTTTGCTTGTTATAATAAATGACATGTCTCTTTGAGTGACCCACATTGATTCGTAAATTTCAAAACAATCAACATCTCATGCCTGTGTGTGTAAGGACTTCATCCTATGAGATTCATAGGAGGGTGAATCAAGCATTTAAAATCCAAAATAAAAATATTAACCTTGTAATAAAGTATATTGACACATGCTTGTAGGGGATGGCCCTACTGTGTCATAATGGCTGAGATGAAATAAGTTATTCATTAAACACACAGCTGTAATATTTATGAGAGCAATTTTCTCTAAGACAGGTATTATCTAGATAGTCTTGCAATAGAATAATTTTTTTTTTTATTTGGCATAATTATTTAATGTATAAATGAAGCTATACATAGGACTGGTTCTATGGCCTCCAATGTTATTGTCATGTTCATGATTGAAAATGTTACTCTTCTATGATATGAGAAGTTTGTGTTTATTCGCTTTTTAATGAACATTCCCATTCAAATTTAATCATTGCCATATGTATCCCAAGGAATCGGATACTTCCTTACTGACTTGATGTGTTTTAAAAGAAAAAATTTGGATGCTTATTCAGCCACTTACATTTTTTAACAGTAAAAAAAAAAAAAAAATTTTAAAGGTAATAAAGACAGAGTTTAAAGGAATTGTAAATGTGCATGCATGGTAAATGTTCCATTTATTTTATAAAGCATAAATTTGAACGTTTTAGATCAGTTCAATAAAGAAAGGCACATTTTTTTTTGTACATGTAATTCATATATCAAGAAATATTTATCATCTTTAAAATCAATGCCAATCATTTTTTTAAACTTTAAAATTGGCTACGCATGTGAAGTGCAATTATTGTATTGTAAAGTTAAAGTAATGGAAGAATTATTCTATGGCCATGAGGAAGAGAAACAAAATTGTGTTCCTCAGAGATTCAAACATTTTCAAGAAGACAGTTCTGTACTTTAAAAAATGGCTTGCTGTCAAAGGATTGTTTTATTATTTACCGTACTTGATCACATAAATATCTATTTATAATAGGGTAATCAATTATTTGTTTTGTTGTGTTTTTTGTTGGGTTTTTTTTTTTTTTTTTTTTTAATCCCAACTTTTCAAGAATTTTTTTTTTTGTTTGGTTGTTTTTATTTTTTATTTAAAAATGGACAGGCCCAAAAGAGCTAAACACCTAAAGAAAAAAAAACATTCTTTTNCAACTGTAAGAGATAATAAGTTGTCTTATGCAGAGGTCCTCAAACATTTAACGTCTTTGGCGTTCCCCAGTCGGTTTTTTTTTTTTTTTTTATTTTTTTTTTTTATTTTTTTTTTTTTGGTTTTTTTTTTTTTTTGGTTTTTTTTTTTTGGTTGTTTTTTTTGGGTGTTTTTTTCTTTCGAGGTTCACATGTATTTTCCTGTCATCATCAATCAGTGCAACACTAACTAGGTTCTTAAGAAGTGCTTTACTTTGGAGCATGTTTTGTCAATTAACTTTAGAAGATGAGAAGTTCACACATTGCCGCCGTCATTTTTTTTTTTTGGGCAGGTTTCAACTAGTCCTAAAATATGAAAGTATCATTCTCTATTGGAACTTGCTGGGAGTTAACACTAAGCTGTCCTGATCTCCATGTGTATTGTTGTTCCTCCTCTAGTACCTCAATCTCTTCTGCCAAACAGTGGCCAAAAGATAAGCTTTAAGCAACAAGCCGCTAAGCCATCTTATTATTTATTTATTTATTTTATTTATATTAAGTATAATTGGAAGGGGGGGGGAGGGGGGCACAAAAGTGGTCTCTAATAATGTGTCTCATTATGAAACCAGCTGGTTTGATTTTATTCTTTCTTTTTTTTTTAAGTTTAAGTAGTTTGTAACACTCAAAATTCCATTTTGCTAATTCAGTAAAGCTTTTTATGATATATTTTTTACTTAAATTGGAACACTAAAATATTTGTTACTTAAGTTCATAAAGTACAAGTCATTTGAGATTTAAGCTGGAAAAAAAAGGTGCTCAATTTCAATCTTACTAACTTGTTTATTTTATATACATACAGAGAGAGGGGAAGGAATGGAGGGAGGGGGAGAGAGAGAGAGAGAGGGGGTGGGGGGGTCCAGTTTTTTCTACTAAGACAATAAAATCATTACACTCAGTTATGGGACTTTTATAGTTATAGACTACAACGGGCTTTTTAAATGAAAAAAAATTATTATCGCTCAGAATTCATTTCTCATTTAATGAAATTCATTTTATCAGCGTATGAAACGTTTTGTATTATAATATTCTGTCAGTTTTCATTGATTGTGAACAATTTTTTTAAGCTGTGGTTACCAATTCTGAGTAAATAAAGTCTTTCAGGAGTAGCTCTCTCTCTCATATGGCAAAAAAAAAATTAACCAATGTAAGAAATAACTGACAGGTTTGTTTCTATACCTTGTACTATCTGATACCTGAGAAATGTATACAGCTTGGCTGCCCGTTTGACACCCCCTCATCATGAAAGTCTTGAGAGTAAAAATGTAGACCCATACTTTGTGCTCTATTTCCCTGCTTTCCAAATCAATGTTAATTTAATACTTTTGTTTCTGAATTCACACTTAATGAGACCATGATAAATTCTGAAACCTTTTTGGTCTCTAGTTTCAAAGTCTCTTTTTATCCCCCCCCCCCCCCACACACCCACACATTTTATTTTTAAAGGTGTATATACACTTGGTATCAACTGCCGCAAAGGGTGTCACTATTTTATTTTCACTAAATTTGAGAATTCTTGATCTCAATCATCTAATTATATGTCAATAATTTTTATGGGGGGGGGGGGGTTAAAAACTTAAGATATTTTATACAGTCAATTGTATAATTAAAATGAGCTTGAGACATATGCTGTGAACAGCTAGATGTCTGTTGAACTCAAAATCGTAATGAAGTAATGAAGCTCTTGCCTGCAATACCATGTCATCTGACCTCGGCCAGACTTCATTTCGAACATTGGTTTTTATTTCTTTTCTCTCTACCATAATTCCATGATGTACAACTCTAATGACATGTCAAATTTTTAAGATGATACATTTTGACATATTATATTGACATCTAAATGTTTCTACCTATGCTGACGTTGGTTTCCGTGAATACTGATGTAATATTGTATATAAATATAGAAGATTTTGTTACTAGATAAGTTGTTATTGATGATTGTGTTTCTCACTCCCCCCTCCCCTAAGCATTGTCCCGATCTGTCAATGATGAAATGGAACATGAGAATGATCAATACAATATTTACCCTTGACCAAGGACTCCTCTCTTATCTTTTGGTTCTGTTATCTTTTGTATGAACTACTTGACTTAGAAACTCTGGAGTTTATAATAACAAGAAACTCTTTTATAAGTTTATACCTGTGCTCCCAAGAACTCAGGTGCTAATCCTCAAGTAGTGCACCTTCTAGCCTGATCCAGATCCTAAAAACGCGAGGCGCCCTAGATGCATACGGTTCCCTGGAGGTGTGATGCCCCCTGGAGGTGTGATGCCCCCCTGGAGGTGTGATGCCCCTAGAGATGTGATGCCCCTGGAGGTGTGATGCCCATGAGAGGCGTGATGCCCCTAAGGCCCCCTCAAGCATGAGGCCACCTAGAGGCGTGAGACCCTGGGTAAGGGCGCTACTAAGCAATGGCGTAGCTAGTGTAATTACCGTCCGGGATTAAAATATTAGTCCACCATTGTAACATGCTTGTAAACACAAATTCTTACTTTATTTTGTTGGATTCATATCTGGGAGAAGTAAAACTTTTTGACGAGAGTTATTCCTTTTTAAGAATTTTCCATCAAACTTTCGATTTGCATTTATACTATTAATTCAGGAATGTGCCGATATTATCATGGGTAAAAACTTGGAAACGTGCAGTCCACTGACTTTTAAATCAAATTAAATAGAAAAAAGTCGTTCAATATGTAAAGCAGAACGACTTTAAAAGAGCGAGTCTCTTAGAAGCGCGAGGCCATGGACCAGTGCCCAGAGGGGCCCATGTCTGCCATGGACCAGTGCCCAGAGGGGCCCATGTCTGCCATGGACCAGTGCCCAGAGGGGCCCATGTCTGCCATGGACCAGTGCCCAGAGGGGCCCATGTCTTAATTAACGCGGCACTGCTCTCGGCGGCGGAAAAAAAAATGTTCATAGTTGACCATCGTTTTCGCTTATACGTGATTAAGTGATTGTGNTTAAAATGAATCTTGTCCCTGGGCGCCTAACACTCTAGCTACGCCTCTGTGGTCATCCTTTCCTTCAATAACTTAAGAGCGTGGGAAAAGTATACAACGCTGAGCAAAAGGTGGAGAGACCCATGTGCAACTGCACAGCACATCATGGGCGCCCGCAGGGGGGAGGGGGGCACTTGCCCCCCCCCCCCGCCCCGGAGTGATTGGATAAAAAAAATTTAGACAAAAATAGAAAAAAAAATGTATTAAAGTAAAGAGAAAATAAAGAGAAAGTAACTAGGCTGATGTCCTGTCCGTTCGTTCACCATACAAATACGCTACAGTAAATTAAAACTACATTAAAACATTACTAAAAATTGTTTCCCCCCCCCCCTGAAAAGTTAATCGATTTGTTTTGCCCCCTCCCCTAGAAAGTTTTCTGCGGGCGCCCATGCATCACATATTCCTTATAAACAGGCAGATTAATTAGAAACCATTTGTGTAAATGAAGCAATGCAGGTTCAGCTTTAATAATGATCATATAGAATACAAATGTAGACGTTTGGGCAAATGCCTTCATCAGTACCCAAAAAGAAATGCATATTACATTGTATATAATACATGCATAGGAGCCAAAATGATCAATAAATTGATCGTGGGCCCTTAAGATATAGAAGAAGAAGAAGAATAGTATCCCACCTTAAAAATTAGAGAACAGATTAAGAGTGGGCCAAGTCCCTGTCAAAAAGCAAAGTTCAGAAGAACGGAAGTGAGTGGAAGTAAAACGTAAAAAACAAACAGGAAAAAGACATTGCATTTATATGTAAGCAGTGTTTCTTTCAGAAATTTTCCCGGGGGGTGGGGGCAGTGTCAGCTGTTCCAGTTGATTTATTGTTGGACATGTTTTTGCTCCGGGGGGGGGGGGGGCCAGTGGGCTTGGGCGGGGGGGGGGGTGGCTGAAGATATAGCTGAAAGAAACCTTGTATGTATGATTGTGACTTTGGTTTATATGTATATCTAGTCTTATTGCAGCAATTGGCTGTTGTTTGTCATAAGTGGTGAGATGTCGGTGAGTATGAAGGATTTGTAAAAAAAATAAAAAATGTTTACAAGATGTGTGTTGAAAAGATTATATTGTTTAGGTATTTCACAGGAAAGCTCATTAAATCGGCAGAGACGACCATCAAGGTCAGTTCAACATTTCATTTGCGTGAAAACAACTTACAGCATGATTCACTACACGATAACAAAACAATGTGCCGTGTGAAACAATGTGTCAGTAATATTTTGTCATTGTCATTAATGTGCTCCTAAGATTTTGTTGGGCGGTAGAAACGAACTTCAAATGCTATACCAATGCGCACCCCACAATGAGGCCACCACAGGTGGTATGCAGGTCACGGCAACATTTAATAAGTGAAGTGCAATAGTCGACCCATTTGTCAACTCTAATGTTAAACATGTGGCCTTACATTGGAGAGGCTAACTGCGGCCCAACAACAAGTTGTTATTCTTTAAGCAGAATGTTAAATAAAAAAAAGTATGTGCCATGATGTGAATCTGTGTAACGGGGTGCGGGGGGAGGGGAGGTATAGGATGGATTGAAAATGGCATAGAGTTACTGCGGTTTCACTGCCTCAATGACCCTTTTAAGGTCATCTAAAAAAAAAAAAAAAAAAAAAAAAAAAAAAAAATATTATAAAAAACTACCACAAATTAATATATATTTGTTTTTAATATAAAAAAATATTTTTGGGGGGAAGTTGGGGGGATATTTTGAAATTTAAAAAAAAAAGGGGGGGGGGGGGAGAGAAAAAAAAGAAGAAAAAAAAAGGAGGGAAGGAAGGCTTAAGATAATTAGCGTTTAATATTTCTGCCTCCTGTTGGACTTGCTATGAACAGATGAGACGCGGCAGCTTTGATCGTTCATCAAAACGAGCTTATATTAAATCAAAAAATAAACACTATTGAATTTTACCTTTTGAATTAACTACAGGCTGATACGTATTTTCAGAAAACAAAAAAAATCATTTTCGATTTGAACAATTTGAATTCATTTATTTATTTTTTTAATGTTGAAATATGTTTTGTTCTACTGCGTTGCCGTGGTAACTGTAGCGTCGGGAACATACGTCAACGAAATGGATCAACCGTTTGACTTTGAATGTCCACCTGGTTCAATCATCAGCTACATTTCGAGTGTCCACGACAACAGGTATGAAGGCAGACGGTGGGAGTTGCTCTGTAGGGCAGCAGGCAACACACATCCGTGCGAGGACAGTCAGTGGTGAGGTGTGGGG